ACAGTACCAACGCTGCCACTGAAAATATTTCTTTAAAACACTATAAGTGACACCATAAGGACGATAACCACTCCGCTCCCCCCCCCCCCTCCGCTAAAGTAAACTCCACTTAGCTATCCCTCACCCACTACGTTTAAAATAGTTTCAAACTAAATTATCTGCCCCTAATAGTGGTCACTAAACCCGGCTCTGCTTGTAAACATTTAGCGTGAACCACAGCTCACCAGACCGTGTAGGGGTGGGGGTGGTAGGGAGTGCGCTTACAGCTAGTTTTCTAGCGTCTCCCAGAAGAGAATTATATATATATGTAGATGATTTTTAATATGCTGTGTTTTTTCTAGACATTTGTCTAAGGGGGGGGGAATGTAATTTTCGGGGGGGGGGGGGGGGGCGGTCACTGTTAAAAGTATATATTTTCTATATAAATTCCATTTCATTCGGCGACGGAGGGGGCGGTAGACTTTCTTTGAGAAGAAATGCCCGGAGGAACCTCTGTTCATATGTTTAATGGGCTACTTTCTATTCCTATTAAAAGTTGTGTTATGTGGGTGAAATAAAATTTATATATATATATATATATATATATATATATATATATATATATATATATATATATATATATATATATATATAATATATTTTTTCACGGAATTGTTTCATTGTCATAAATATATTTATGACTATATATATATATATATATATATATATATATATATATATATATATATATATATATATATATATATATATATATATATATATAAAGTATATATAGTCCTAGGCACTATACGTTTTTTTCTTTTTAGTTCAAGACGTAGTCCCAATCAATTTAAATTCTTTATGAAATACCATGTGAAATTATTTTTTGAATATTTCTAATTAGTAATATAATATTATTAATCTGTCTAAATAATTAAAGGGGACAACGTGGGATAGCGAGCTGGAAAAAAAGTTATCAAGTTGGTAGATTCGAAAACTTAATGATAACTTTTACAAATAACAGACCCTTATAATTGCATATACGTTTCATTTTGTTTTCTGTAATGGTATTGTTTTCGCTATAAAAGTAATTAAATACTACAAGGAAGTGGATTTATATATATATATATATATATATATATATATATATATATATATATATATATATATATATATATATATATATATATATATATTTAATATATTTTTTCACGGAATTGTTTCATTGTCATAAATATATTTATGACTATATATATATATATATATATATATATATATATATATATATATATATATATATATATATATATATATATATATATATATATAAAGTATATATAGTCCTAGGCACTATACGTTTTTTTCTTTTTAGTTCAAGACGTAGTCCCAATCAATTTAAATTCTTTATGAAATACCATGTGAAATTATTTTTTGAATATTTCTAATTAGTAATATAATATTATTAATCTGTCTAAATAATTAAAGGGGACAACGTGGGATAGCGAGCTGGAAAAAAAGTTATCAAGTTGGTAGATTCGAAAACTTAATGATAACTTTTACAAATAACAGACCCTTATAATTGCATATACGTTTCATTTTGTTTTCTGTAATGGTATTGTTTTCGCTATAAAAGTAATTAAATACTACAAGGAAGTGGATTTAAAATATATATATATATATATATAATTCTCTTCTTGGATACCATAGAAAATACCAAACTATAAGTGCGCCTACCACCCCCACCCCCACATGGTCTGGTGAGCTGTTGTTCACGCTAAATGTTTACAATTGTAGAGCCGGGTTTAGTGACGGCTATTGGGGGCAGATAATTTAGTTTTAAACGATTTTAAACTTAGGGGAGAAAACTAAGAGGAGGCTGCTTTCAATAGGGGGTATGGTAGGGCTTGGGGGAAAGGAAGGGGGGGGGGGGTATCGTCCTTTACGACCTACAGTTTTAAATCAAATATTTTAAGTGGCAGCATTGGTACTCACGAATTCACAAATTATGAATTACTGAAAAGAAGAAAATAAAACAACTAAATAGCGGCGTATGATACGCGCACACACACACAATACACACACATTGTGTACACTGAAATGTTCATATAATTAGTTCTTCGTTGCTCACATTGTATTAATAGTAAAAAAAAAATTAAAAATAATTTCACACATTTTATTTAAATAGTAAACATAATTGAAAAAACGAACCGTATTAATATATGTGTAATTAACAGTGATAAAAAAATTGAAAATGTCTGGTATAAAGTTATTGGTTTAATTAAAATAATTTTTTACATGAACAAGATTATTGATCTCGCTGATAATTTAATTACTGAGGTCTGTGTTTATTCACTAATTGAACAGATGCTGTTTAAACTGGTTTTTTTTTAAATTTTTACTTGTTAAGTAAATTTGTCGGTATTTTTTTATATTACAATTTTCAAAATCAAGTTTATTATCCTCAATTTTTTTTATTGCTCATAACCTCTCAATCAAATGGTATTTTGTTTTTCACCTATTAAGGAAAGAAACCACACACATTTTCGAAAGTTTAAATTTATTTCTGCTAGTATGGGTTTAACACTAATTCTGATAGTAACACCATTTAGCTATCTAACCTGAACGTTTCTAACCTCTATTTAAAATCCTATAAGTAGAGTTCTGTTGCTTCAGATTATATATTAGAACCGTACCAACATTATCTGATTTAAATGGATTTGAGAAAAATATTTAATCGTTCTTGCTGGTAGCGAGAAAATAACCTGTTTGTAAAAACATGCATGTGTTGTGTTGTATATAATGGTGGTTGGGGTAGGCAGTATAAAGGTTTTTGCGGCGCAACATGTTTATTGATAGGGCTGGAATTTGTTCTAGTTTCATACCGAAACACTATATAATGAAAGTCAGTTTCTACGATTAGGCCTGCAGTCTTTTGTGTATAGTCTCTGTTTTTGTTTGTTTGTGTGTATATGTGTGAGTACTTGAGGGGTTTCATACAATAAATCGATGATTTGATAACTGAATGTACCCTTCAGAGAATGGGCTCGAAATTAATCGACAGGCCTATTAATTATTTTGAAAAATTCTGCACAGTGTAATTAAAATTAATATGGTTATGAAAACCTGATTGTTTGATTTTTTTTGGCATCAATAAATATTTGATGTATTTGACGTTTAATTATATCTGGTAATAAAACGTTATTATAAAAAAAAACACACAAACAATTTGATTTTCACCCGATAATATACATCTAGATCTCTAGCTCTATCTAGAACTAAAATATATGTTTCTATACTAAACTATTTCAGACCTTAATTATTGTATACACATCTTTGTTTAGCTATGGAATTGCATAATAAAAAATAAAATACTGAAAACGAGATTTTCAGAAGTTATACTAGAAATTAGTCTCATCTGACATTTTTAAAACATGCCTTTGGTTTTAAAGGTATGTTATTTGTCTATATATTTAAACAGAAATCAAATTGTGGAACAAATAAAAAAGGTGTGCAACCATTATATTTTGACAAATCCATAAAACGTCATAACTTATTCAATTATATATACGACACTAATGTAAGTCAATTAAAATCAGTGGTAACATCTGACAAACAATTAGCAGCCAAGCCTAACCAGAAGCCACGTCACTTGCCACGTATAGGCCACGCAGATTCTTGTTGACGCCACATCTAGATATCCATCCAGTAATTATTACAAACAACGCTCAGCAACTTCAAATACAAAATATTCGATTAATCAGAAGATAAGTGTTCTTGATACGGATAGGTAAGTTAAGCCTGTTATAGAATATCCTATTAAATTAAAGCTCATGTACGAACTTACTCTCTCTCTCTCTCTCTACCTCTCTTTCTCTCAACATTTTTCCTAGACTATTAGATCAGCATCTTTAGCATCTTGTGTAGAACTTAAACATTCAAACTTTCGTTGAGAAAAATATAATAACACTAAATGGGTCATCTAAAAAATATTTAACAATGGAATTAAAAATAAAGCCATGTTCCTATGTGGAAACACACCTTTAATTATGCAACGTGAGCAATCATTTTTCAACACGAAATTTCGAGAGAAACAAAAAAACTATCACGGCAAATACAACGACGTCATATTAAAGGAGTTAGACAATATTTAAAATGAAACAAAGTAAATAAACGGTTTAAATGATTGTAGGATTAAAAAAAAAGAATAAAAACATAAATGTTAAAAATAATACATAATTCTAATTACTTTATTAATAATTGGGCCACCACAAGTAAGTCCTAACTTATTTGTCTCATATTAAAAATATATTTTCTGTTTGCTTTTAATTTAGTTGCGATTTTGCTCCTATTTTGATTAAATGTCCGTCTCCGTATTAAATTTGCGGATCCAGTTAAAAACGGGTTAAAAAGTCCTATTTCGATTAAAATTTCTTTAGGCTTAATAGTCCGTTTCTCAATTAACTTACGTTTGCAATTATATGTCTGATTCCTATTGAAATACAGGTTTAATTTATTGACATTTACGTTTTGTGATACATATAACAATCTAGTTTTAGGAGAGGTTCCGTTTCAGTTTAAATTTCGTAAGTATTAACGAGTTGGCTCCGGTTACTGTTTAAAATTTAGTTTCTGGTTAAAATTTCGTCCCCATATAAAGTTCCATTTTAGATTAAATTTCGTCTTCAATTACATTTTATATACTGGCTAAATATTCGTTTCCGATTACATTTCAGTATTCGTTTCAAAAGCATATTCCCTAAACAGTAGTGAAGGTTGGCGATCATATTCTGTTGAGAATTTCGGTAACGGTAAAAGTTCTATTTTCGGTTTTGTTATCCTGATTGGAATAAATTTCTAATTTGAATACAATTTTAATTACACGCCCCAATCATCTGCATTTATTTGCCTTATGACTTTCGTTGAATGTTATTTTTGTTACTTTAGGGCAAGAATAGTTAAATGTTTGTTTAATAACTTTTTCTGAGAAGCTCCACTTGAGTGTTTTCATCTTTATGATTTAGGGCGTCGTGTACCAATAACGACAATGAAACTACAAACGTTGTTGTTTTCTTACCTGACTACTTTAAATTGCTTGACGTGTGTGGATGGCAGGGATGACGAGACCAGACCTAATCTTCAAAGCAGATCATCTGAGGGAGTAAATATTGCCTGTCGTTATAATTATATATCATTTATCAAATCTTAAACTTTTCTATATTAAGTTCACATGTAAATGGGACATATAAATAAATAAATAAATAAATAAATATATATATATATATATATATATATATATATATATATATATATATATATATATATATATATATATATATATAACATGTGAACCTAATATTAATAAAAATAAATAAATAAATAAATAAATAAATAAATAAATAAATAAATAAATATATATATATATATATATATATATATATATATATATATATATATATATATATATATATATATATATTACTTATTACCTATTTTACATCCTTGCATACAAAGTATAGTGGAAAATTAGTCTGTCGGCCTGAATGCCCATCAGAGTGCTTTGTGTCTCTCTGTCTTTATGAAAACAATATAACTTGATAAACCTGTCAGTTATGTTAACAAAATATAATCTATGTGTATTATATTTAATTTGTAGCTCTATATTTTTTTTCTGTATTATCTTTTGAATGTTTTCCCGTAACAGGAAATATTCTAAATCAATATCATCGTTTCAAAAAGCCAATAAATTTTGTATTGTTTTTTTAAGTTGACGAAATTTGAAGTAAAATTAAAGTAATTAAATTTTATGGTCAAACCCCCTATGGTCAAAGCCCCTCTGTGGTAAAACCCCCAATGGTCGAACCCCCTATGGTCAAAGCTCCGTTGAGGTCAAACCGCCTATGGTCAAACCCCCTATGGTCAAAGCACCTGTGGTCAAAGCACCTAGGACCCAGACACTCTAACTTGGGTACTTTTTATTTATGTATTCTAAAATACTTATAAATAGAGTACAGTTTCAGCTAGGTGTGCGAATTTATAAAGAAATAGGTAAACAAGTCTATTCTATTGATTCTTTGAAATTTGTATTCACTTTCAGTGACAAAAATTTCTTTTTTTCTCTTATTTCCATTACTGATGAAACATTTCTTCTACCGAAACGATTTTTTTTTCAAATAATTCACGTTGATCTAACCCCGATGATATAAAGTTTTGCTAAATTATATGAATTATTTACTTTATGAAATATTCACACGGTTAAGAATTGCAATTTTTTTTTCTGAGGCAATTGTGATATTATATATATATATATATATATATATATATATATATATATATATATATATATATATATAAACATTTTTTATTTTTACAGTATCCATTACCTTATGTTGGAGCAATTAAGTTTCCTATGTATTCAGGAAAAGAGATTGTTATTGAAGGAGTTATCCAAAACCAAGCTACATAGTTAGTTGAAAAATATTTTTACGAATTGAATCGAAATGTATAACTCTTTTCTTTTTTTAAGCATTAATGTTGCACTAGCCTTCCTTGAAAGATCATGCACGGGCTAATAATATATCTACAAATGACTTGACTTGTCTGTTTATTAAGCATCATAAATGCAGCATCGCCTGTTTTGAAAATATACTAACCACAAACAACCAAAACTAAAACTAAAACACAAAATCAAACAAAAACCTAGTGAAAACACAAACTCAAACGAAAACAAAACGCAAACATAAACGCAAACGCAAACATAATTGTAAGCACTGAAACATAAGCACAAACCAAGACACAAATTAAATACAACACAAAGCACAAACGCAAAAAAGGACAACAACAAAAAAAACAGCAAAGAAAACGCAAACACAAATACAATAAAAAAAAACACAAATTCAAACACGATGGAAAAATTAACGAAAATTAAATACAAACGCATACGGAAATGCAAACACAAACGCAAACACAAAAACTAACACAAACACATAAGCGAAAAAATCAAACACAAACAAAAGCACAGACGACAACATCAAAACAAAATAAAAAAGTAATTTATTTATGTATTTATTTTTTTATAATATATTTATGTAAATGAGAAAATGATCTAATTTGCATACTGTTTTTAAACAAAATAGAAAATTTCCAAAGGTAATATATTTAGTTTAGTTTTGTTCTTTGCACCATAGGTCAATGAAAACGAGTGTTTGAAATTAATCAACCATATGTTTTTAATCAATAATTGTCGATCAAGTTGTTTCTTTTAACTAAAAGCATGTCATACAAGCTTGTCCGTCCGACCGACACAGAAGCGCAGAATAAATTTCATTATTATATATTAAATATAAATAAAGATTAACTCTGTATTACACGTCTTTTTTAGAGGGAAAAAATCTATAAAGATAGTGCGTTTCCGTTTTTTAATGTCAATGAATATCAATTGCATAAAGAAAAAAGAACAGTAATTATTATGAAGGAGAATGAAGTACAATTTGAATTTACCTAAAAATTTTATATACCCACAGCTTCTCCGTGAAACTCTGCAATACTGATATGTGTGACTACGACGTGCCTTTCATAATGTTAATTGACTTCATTGAAAACATGCGGGTGATGTCATCCTATTATGATTTCCCCTCTGAAGGAATAGAAAATCCTGGAAAATTACCTTTCAAACATGGACAGCAATTTAGAATTGATTTAAAAATTACAAACGAACTTTTTACGGTAATCACACGCATACACATATCTATATATATATATAAAGCAATGTATGTTTGTGTTTATGTGTGTGTGTGTCTATTTTTATGCATTACTACAACTCTCATCACATTGCCGTGAAACTTTGAGAAGTTGTTTTGAATATTCCTGGGAGGTTTCTGCGGAATTTTTTTTCTAATTTGCAGGGCAGGCGTCCCGGCAAGGTGCAATTTGTTTTTTCTCTATATACGGTATATAAAAATAAAAGTCGATTTTGATTTGACATTGTTTGGGGAGTTCATTATAACATTCTAGGGAAGGGTTCTGTAAAAAAATAATTTTTAATTTCGCTAGGGCGGCGCCACGAGAGGGTGCGATTTTTCTCTGTATACGGTATATTACAATAAAAGTCGATTTTGGTGTGACATTGTTATCCGATAGCCATGACTTTGGGGAGTTGAATGGGACACTCTGGGGAAGGGTATTGTAAATTTTTTTGCAAGGGCAGCGCCACGTGAGGGTGAGTTTTTTTCCCTCAATATTCGGTAAATAAAAATAGTAAAAGTTAATTGCCGTGACGTCGTTCACACGATCGCCATGAAATTTTGGGAAGCTGTTCAAAATGTTACTGGGGAGGTTTCTGCGCTAAAAACATTTTCAAATTCTCAGGGGTGGCGCGATTTTTTTCTCTCTATTTATGTTATATAAAATTAAAAGTCGATTGCGGTCTCACAACGTTCATACGATAGCAATCAAACTTGATTAGAACACTTCAGGGAAGGGTTCCGTAAAACATTTTTTTTTTATTTTGCCAGGGCGGCAAAAATTATAGTGAAGATTTCTGTAAAAAAAAACTTGTTTTTTAATTTCGCAAGGGCGGCGCCACGGAATGGTGGGATTTTTCTCAATATTGTTTATAAAAATAAAAGTCGATTTTGGTTTGACACCATTTATCTGATCGCCATCTCAGGACAAACGATCTTAGGGACAAATGATCTCACGGACACAAGATACCAGAGCAAAATATATTAGGACACATGATACCATGGACAAATGACCTCAGACAAAATATCTCAGACAAAATATTTCGCGGCAAAATTTTAATAGTGTATAGGATTATTTAATTGATCTCTCTCTGTTCGCATAGTATTTTCACAAGCTATAATATAATCAGTATCTTCAGCAGTGGTCGGCGTGGTAGATAAAGCTCATGGCTGCGAAACCGAAACGTCTCGAGTTAGAACCCTCGGGCAGATGGGGAACATATACTCTTCTAGGAGAGACAAGTCCAAAATCAAACAACTGCTTCCTTGCAGTTTGTTCTTGGTTTGACAAAGATTATGGAAGCAAATCCAAAAAAAAGCAGGCTGAAATCGGAGTCAATGGCCTCAATTGCGCATAACCAGTTGGAACGGATCCTTAATTGCGATGGAGGCGTGGTTGAGTCGGCAAAAGCTCATGGTTGATAAATTCGTAAATAGTCTCGAATTGAAACCCTCTGGCAGTATGGCTCGGTCCCTTTCAACACTAAAATTAAGAACGAAGAAGAAAAAGAAGAAGAGTATCTTCAGCGATATATCGAGAACTTGATACGGACTTTTGTTGAAAAAAATATGTTAGATGTTTTAAATGTATAAACAACATTTTATTTGAAGAATAAAAATAAAAAAAAGGCTTATTCGAATGTAGAAAAACAATTTTAATCAGGCAACCAAAAAATAGTTTATAGCTGTGACAACGCAATAAACAATGACATCACAATGTGTGCTCTAACACAAACCTAATGGCGTCATCTTCCGATTTTAGAATATAAAGAAATGAACTATTTCATTGAAATTCGATTTAGATCTACGTAGGCTATGAAAATTATTTGGGCCTAAACTTATAAAATTTACATTATCTATTTGGATTCTAGATCTAGATTTTGATCTAGAGATTCTAGACTTAGATTTAGAAATTCTAGATCTAGATCTACTAAAAAAATAGACTTAGACTCTAGATAGATCTAGATCTAGACTCTATTTAGATCTAGAATCTATTCCAATAATACATTTCTACACTAAACTATTTCAGGCCTTAATTATTTTATAGAAATCTTTGTTTGTTAAGCTATGGAATTGGCTAATTTAGGATACAATTTAATTTGAAATAATTGGGTCTATTGGCGGGTGGTACGGATTCGAGACTAAGTCAATCTTTTTTTTTTCAATTTGTTTTTTATATATGAATAATATAGTTGCCTCTCGAGACTTGGCAGGACACGGGGCAGATGAAGTAGAGTACACCTGTTTCTGTCTTTTCTGCATATGAAGAAATAGTGTGGTCAGACCCATGCTCAACTGAAATAGGTGTTTTTAAAAGATAAAAATAACTACCATTGAATTTACATACTGTAAACAATCTCGTGACAACGGGATAAACAAAATAGTTTTTAAATCAGATCTTTCTAACATATCATGTTCTCAGGTTTGGGTGGACGGAAAAGTGACTGACACTTTCAAAAATGAAATGCCCTTGGAAGATATTATGTACGTGCAGGTCGACGGGCAAGCAGAGGTTAACTGGATTCTATTCTCAGTAAGTTTTCAATGTGCAATATAATGAAAAAATAATTTGACTTGTCCTGTCGCACATACGTTTTATATTTTACTAGCCGTCCCGGCCAGGCCCTGCACTGGCATCTCTAAAAAACGTATGTGTAAAGGACCATAACTTGTGTGTTTAGTAATCAGCATTTACCCGGCATTGCCCACCATAACCACAACCAACCAAAACATACAAAAAATGCAAACACAACACTAATACAAAACAAACACAAACGAAAACACAAAAACAAACGCAAAGACAAACCCAATCACAAACACAAAGAAAACACACACACTGAGGCAAACAAAAAAGCAAACAAATCCAAATCCAAACGCAAACACAAACCCAACCACAAACACAAAAAAACACTGACGCAAAGAAAAAGCAAACACAAACGCAAACGCAAAGAAAAAAAGCAAAATAAAACAAACCCAAACCCAAACCCAAATCCAAACGCAAACACAACCACAAACGCAAACCCAAACTCAAACACAAAGAAAACACAAACGCAAAGATAAACTTAAAGTGTCCACAGTATAGCCCGGGGCGCCAAATCGCACCATGACGACGTACGGCGTAACCGCCTGATTCAACTTTGTAAACGACTATAGTACCCAACTTATTCATAGTTTTTTGAACTCACGCGAACGTAGGTACAATAGCGAACATGGGAAGGCCCGGGGCGCCAAATAGAACCCTGTCGGGGTGCCGGAAGACGCTCGGATTTGATTCACTTAAAGAATATAGTAACCTTTATTATCCATAGTCTATCGCACTGTTTAAAACGAAATTATGCACCATAGAGCTCACATGATAGCCCAGGGCGCCAAATCGACCTTGCATTATTCGTAAATGGAAAGAAATAAACATATAGAATTTGTAGGACCTGGGTTATTAAATGTTATTGTTTAAAAAATAATAATTTGTAAACAGTATGTTCAGTGTATAGAATAAATAAAAGGCAGTATTAAAAATACCAACAACATTGCACTTAATCAATCCCCGCTAATTATGTAATTATTTTTTTCCTAACACCAAAACAAAGTGATAAAAAGTAAATTCTTTCTTACCCCAATTTAATGGGTTTTTTTAATGGGAAGTAACTGTGTTTTCAAAATCAAGGGACGTTATGAGAACTAGTGGACAAAATGCAAATACATTTCAGACACAATTTTAGACATTTTATAAACATTGATACACTTTTTTGTTTAAAATTTTATTCGAGTGCTATGAAACTTTGGAAAGTTAATGAAATTACTTCCGAGAAGGATTCTACAAATATAAAATGTAATTTCTAATAGGCGGCACTAGGGAGGGTTAAGATTTTTTATAATACACGGCTTGGCGCCCCGAGTTCCATAGAGGAATTCTTAGCACTTGCTATCCGTTATTTGGGAGCGTCCCGAAAAGCGTATAGGGGTACTACTATATTCAGCAGTAAAGCTGCAAAAGACGTAGCCGCCGGCACCCCCCCCCCCCCCGTACCCTGAAGCCGAGTGACCCGAAGCGCCCCGGGCTCCTTTTGCTTTATAATTTCGTTTAAAACATAAGACTATACACCAATATATTATGGGCAATAAATTCGTTAATTGTATCGAATCAGGCGGGTCAACCGGCGACCTATCAGGGGGCGATTTGGCACCCCGGGCTTTCCGGTGAGCGCAATGGCGCCTACGTTCTTTCTTCCTTCCTTCCTTATACGGAAACCGGCTTAGAAGGTTCACTTCCATTAGCCAGGCAGGCCTCAGTGTGGCAAACCCCGAAAGAGTTTCCCACACATCGGTCGCTACTTCCGTGGGCTCTCACCGGGCTTTCCTTTCCCACCCACCAGACGCGGGACGTCGTCCTACCGCCTGGTACCCAGCTTGATCGTGGGGGGCATTCCGCCAGATCAAAACCCTCTAGCTGCTGTTATCTGCCACTGGCCATTCCGCAACCACTAGGGGGGACATGAGTTTGGTCGGACCAGTGGCATTATTCCGAAGCCCCGTTAAGGCCGCCGCTTAAAGTCAAAATAAAGATCTGGCGGCGAACTCTTTTGGTTCCCGGCAGTCTTTTACCTCTCCTCTCCCAAGCTATTATGTTGGGGACTTGGGAGTCGGACGTACCAAGCTCTTTGGAAGAGCCGAACGCATACAGCAGTTTTACCCGACCAGATAAAAAACCTCCAGCTGCTGTTGGCTACCACTAGCCATCACGCACCCACCAAGGGGGTCATAAGCTTGGTCCGATTAGTGGCACACATCCGAAGCCACGTGAAGGCCGCAGCTTTTAAAGTCAAGACATCTGGTTAGGGTCGAGAGCAAAACCCTTCTTGGTTCCCGGCAGTCTTGCACCTCTCCTCCCCAGTAGCGTACGCAGGGGGGGAGCAGGGGGAGCGGCCGCTCCCCCTCTGGCCATTTTCAGCAAAGTGGCGCCTTTTTGGAAACCTTTTAAACTCAAAGTTTTAAACAATGATTTTTGTTAAAAAAGTTATTTTTATTCGGCACATCTATATAAATCACAAGATTTCTTTTCATGCAGCAATAAAGCAGAGTTGTACTAGTCTAGTAGTGTCTACGTTTACAACACATATTAACAGCTGTATCAAGTTTGTCATTCTAAAAATAACCATTACGATCCATTGCAATTTTAAAAAACCTCTACGGGTAGTATCACTTGGCAAGAGGGGTGTTAAGTTTAAGGCAACTGTATAATGTATTTGCTTAAGAATAAGTGATCTAGAAAATATTATACATAAATCTTCACCCATAATTACTTTATATATACAGTTTAAATCGTGTAATTAATTTTTTAAAATTACAATACAGACACAAATACAACTGATGTGGCGCCTCTATTTAAATTTACTTATAGGCAAACTGCGTAGTGGTGGAGAAATTTTGACAAGGTCAACAACGTCATCACCATGACGTAGTAGTATTATGACAGTTTGGGCGATAGTGATTACGATTACAAATTATATGAAACAGTTACAACCCCCTCTCGAATGGACCCCTCTGTAAAAAATATTGTCATAATACCACTGCTACTCATTCAAATCTATTTCTGAATCAGTATATATGTGTATTGAATATGTATGTTTAGAACAGTCATCTAAAAACTGACGCTATGTTCACTCTGAGTTGGTTATCCCCCCCCCCCCCACCCCCCACACCTCACCACCACAATTATGTAGAGCGACATTAATGTCACACCTAAGTATACACTGGGTTGGATAATTGACCTAAAGTGACCGGACAGTGGTGAATGAAGTTGAACACCCCCCCCCAACACACCCCGAACTGATCTGTTAAGTACTTGTAGAAAAACGCGTAACGATGTACCAAAGTACCATGCCGCAAGAATCAGAGCTTTTGCAACAGGTAAAAATCTGTGAATATTGTTTTTGCAATTACCAATAAAAAGGTGTGTTATCAATACACTGATCTAACCCATACCTATCACTATGTTAAAAAATGATATTTAAAGAACAGTAAATTAAAAGATGTATGATCTGAACAAAAGACCGATATTTTAGTTAAATGTAAGCTATAATTCCGAAAGTTTTTCTATTATATTTTAAAACGTGTTTTTATACGAACTCTTGATTTCAAAAACTTTCATTATGCTGTAATACTTTAGCATTTATGATGACGATATATTTAATTCTGATTGTAGAAAAAAAATTATAAACACGAATATTGTTAAACAAGTATATTACATGCTAAATCTAAAGTAATTATTGATTTGTTTTGACATTTATAATTAAATATGTATTAAATTTGTAGATATATACATATTTATATTAAGAGAGTGAATATTTCCCCTATTTTGCTTGTCTTAATTAATGTACCAGGAATTATTATGTAAATTTTTTTTTTACAAGAATAACAAAACAGATTCTGTTGCGTTTATTTTTAGCGCAATTTCCATTCTGGAGAATTGCGTTTATTAACCTGTCATTTCTGGATGTATGAATGAATGGATGGATGTGTCTCCGCAGCTTTAAGTCGTATCTTCTCCTCAACGAAGCAATATCGAGGACTAGTTCCAAAAGCAATTATATTAACCCTTTATCTACTGACGGTACTTATAAGTACCACTTTAATTAAGCGCCTGTATAATTTTTAATTTAATACGAATTTTAAAAATTATTGATGTAATTAATAGTACCATCAGAGCACACGGTCATTTTTTAGGATTTTTAGAAAATCGAAGATTTTTTATGTGGAGTTACATAAATATTGTCCTGATAATTAATTATCGAAATGTACTCAAAACATAATATTTACACATTTATAAGAAAGTTAGCATATGGTTTACCTAAAAAATATTGTAATTACATGTTGATTTCTAATAGTAAAAGAATAACAAAAATGAAAGTAGTAGTTGCATGCTCGTTTACTAGGTTTAGTATACTTCATTTGTATATCAAAGCCTAGTTCTAGTAGTAAGATTTAATTTGTTGGGTTTCTTTCACGGATTTCCCGGAAAAGCCAAAACACCTCGAAAAAAATGCAGTTTTTTTGCCCATATCTCGGCAACCAGACCACGTAGCGACTTGAAACATGTACCAATCGATTCCTGTCATAATTTAGAACAATATTGCCGAAGAAAGTTCTCAAAAATATCCTTTCGTTCGGTCACAAATTTATTTTTAAATTAATTAAAATTTGGACCGAATTAGTAGGCATTTTTATCCAACCACACCATACGCGTCATCACGTTCAATAGCTGCGCCATCACGTTCAATGGCTGCGTCATCACGTTCAGTAGCTAGGCGCGCAATGGTTTTTAGTCATGTAACTCTATTGTAAATAAAACATGTATTTTAACCAATGGTTTTACTAACCCTGCTCTTGATTTACGCTACGACAGAGCTATTTTTAGATAACATAAGGAAATTGCGCTAAAATTGTCACTATACTTTTTAATTACCTTGTTTTGGTTGTGGTATATATATATATATATATATATATATATATATATATATATATATATATATATATATATATATATATATTGTTTAGATTGATACATTTTTTGTTTTGTCATCCTACATTGTGTGTTTTTTCTTATTTCTTCAAGTGCTACTTACAATTTATTTTACAACGTAGCGAAGTAATGACATACAGCTAGTAAATAAATAAATTAATTAATTAATTTAAAAAAAACAATATATATATATATATATATATATAATACACGTATATACTACGTGTTAAAAATTCGGCGCCTTTTTTTGCTCTTTTCGCTCCCCCTACAACGAAAACCTGGATACGCCTCTGCTCCTCCCCCACGTTATTTAGAGCAAGCAATGGAGATTCGCCCGTCTAGTGCGGACAAATCTCCTGGCTCGCTAACATGTAGGGATTTTGGAGTCCGACGTACCATGCTCTTCGGACGCCTACGTTGCGAAAGAAAATATTAAAAGTCGTTTACTAAACCAAATCAGGCGCTTTACCCGGCGTCCTGGCAAGGTGCAATTCTGCGCTCTGGGCTGTTTTTTGAGCGCTACGGTGCGATAGAATAAGGATAAAATAGGACGCTGTAGTCGTTCACTAAATTGAATCAAGCACGTCCGATGGCACCGCGTCAGGCTGCTATTTAGTTCTCTGTTTAATCGCTAGAGCACCATGGCGCCTACCTTAGTTTTAAGGAGACAGGGGCCGTACGCGACGCATCTGAAGTCGTGTAAAAGCGTGCTCCAGAGAGCGCCCTGATACATGGACGGTCACCGAAGTGTGTTCTACTTCACTATTACCGTGAGTGATTAACGTAAACTCAATGCTTTCATGAAGTAGTATAGGTAAACCTGTGCCCCGATAAATATGGTTCAAGCTCAGGCATTGTTTACATTTAAAGAACTCAGTTTTAGAAAAAACAAATATCTAAGAATATACGATTGAGGCAACTCTTCTTATAAATTTCGTCAGAATTTTTTTCTATTCTCGCGGGGACGGGCAAGCTAGTTTTTAAATATAATTTATAATTATTTTGTAAAGCTCATAAATATATCTATTTTTGTTTGTTTTGTTATTAACTATGATTAATGTTATTAAAAATATTATTTTTTCAGAAAATGAACCCCGTAAGTGTGTACGCAATTCATATTTTAAAATATATAATTTTACTTTTAGCATAGATGAATGACTCTCCTTTTAATATAAGAAATTTTTTAAAAACAATTTCAATTTGCTTCGAAAAACAAAATTGCGAAGTAACTCGCATAATGTATACATTTAAAATAATCAGTATAAAGTGTTTAAAAACAATTTTTTTTTCTAAATTTAAGGCCACTATGGAAAAAATTGAAAGACGCCAGGGCGGTGAAAACATTGTCATCTATGGATATCCAACCAACGATACCTCACAGTTTGTATTAATACATAATTAACCTTTTTGGTTCAGTAGTAAATATTTTTTAATTAAATACCACAAGTATTTACATGTTATACTTTGCCTAGAATTGGGCATGTGATTTATTTAAAATCTGATGATTACAAAGAATGCAAGACAAATGATTATGCAAAATATGTTGGACGAAAATGTTTCACATTTTAACATATTTTAAAAATTTTAATCAACAAGTAATGTATAAAAAAATAGAGAGTACTTTTTAAATTATCAATTACTATTATTTCAAATTATTGCCATTTATAATTAAGATATGTTTGATTTTTTTGTTCATAGTAAACTATTTTTTTCAGCTTTAGCATTAACATTAAATGCATAGAGGATGGCAGTGGAAATACTGTTTTCCACCTAGACGTAAGATTTAATCACGCGGGTGACATTAGAAAAACTGTCATTGACCATTATCAAAACGGAAGATGGGTACAATATCTTGGATATGACGATTTTGACTTCGAAGTTAAAAAGCAGTTCATCATACAGATTTTAACACGTCCAGGTTCAACTTCGGTAATTTTACAATTTTTTTTTTAATTTAGATACCACAGATAAAAATTATTTTTATTTAACATGTTTCAGCGTGATTAATAAATCCATATGTTAATAGTTGTTAACCTTCAGACAAAAAAAAGGATATAGCCACTAATAGCAGTTCTTGTGGTCATGGAAACCACGAGAAGGTGTGAAAACTAACACCTTTTCAAAACTTTGTCTGTTCTCAAAAGAGATTTCTTATATCTGACATCATATTTAAAAATTTCTCAAACGAATCTATACATTTATATGTTTTGACATTTTGATAGTATGTATTCATTTTTAATACACATTTTTACGAACAACTACGAACAAACATTAGGGGGTTGTGCTATATAAATATCAATATTGCCTGGAGCATTGCAGTTAACTTACAAACAAAGTTTTGAAGATTGGAATAAAAAGGTGAATGCATTTAAAAGTTTCAGTCTTTTACGACAAAGGGTTCCAGATCATTAGCGATTTGAATTTCGCGAAAAATTTCTAAGTGAGAAAACTTGAAAAGAATGTTGGAAATGGCACTGTACGGTTCCTCTTACAGGAAACAATAGAAGACGTCTTGTTTAATGTGGAAGATTCATTCGAATAATAAAATGCATATTGATTTTAGTTTTAAATTTCAGAGTTTTTTTTATATAAGCAGAAATAATGTATACAGGATTAATGACTATTATAATTATACATTAAATATCATATTCTCCAAGTACTATTCTAATAACAACTATTAATTGACTAGAATAAGTTCTGTTTGTTAGCTTGTTTTCTCACTTCTATACAGTGTCTATCACTTCTTAAATTTTAACGTGCACACGTTTATTGACTCTTGATAATAGCCTATAACCCAATTCTGTGTTCAGTGCTAGAGACTCCCCCCACCTGCCCATTGATGTTAATGATGTTCAAAGAGCCTTAAATTACAAATGATCATTCAACCGTGAATAACACTTCCGCGTAGTTAGCATCAAGTATTACGTTAATGCTTCAGCGATCCGTTTCGAATTTACATGAGTGTTTGTAAACCCTACAAGCAACAAAATGCTTACAAATTAACACATGTGTCGTTTATAGTACGGTGTAAAGTCTAATGTACCCGTTCAAACCTAACACAAAATAATGTATCGCGATTAAAAATAAGTCGTTGGTTGACTATCACACAGAAGAATAAGGAATGGGCTTTCGTTCATTCTTTAAACTTACTGGCGTTAACTCAACGTCTCTGAAATATGATCTTTCAATAGTTGCATCTTATGAGTATCAAAGGTAAAAACAAAACAAAAATGACAACCAATTGAAAAATGTCAAATTTTACTTATATCATCAGACATACTTTACATATTTTGCGCTTAGATATTTTGTCATGTTATATTTTGTTCTGTGATCTTATGTTAGTTAGATCATTTGTTTCTTGGTTGTAATTCGATTTTCCTAAGCCGCATTACCAATAAGTGTAACTTAATTTTAATCCCTCGTATGCAAAGTTAGAGTAAGTATAACTGTAATCCTACATAAATCGAAGTCGGTATTTTCACAAGATACGAATTTTTACACCTCCCTGAGTCAGAAAAACTTAATTTTGCAAGTTTTTCCGTATGTCGGTGTGTCTGTCAGCCCGTGGTTCTTTTTTCTGTGTGTCTATAAACACGATTTCATACATGTTCAATTTGTGTGCACATTTTTTTTTCTACTCTGTTCTAGAAATGTATTTCAAAAATGAATTTCAAAAATTCTAAAGCCCTGTCGGATAGCAAATGCCGTCCTAATTATTTTTATATCAGAATATTCGAGAAAGATTATGATAGATTAATCCTGGTTTATTTTAAATTTGTAATGATAAAACTAAATTTCTGTGAGATATCAACTGATTCGTTCTATAAAAGTTTCTTAATAAAAACGTGTAGTAAAAATTATTTAAAATAAAAAAATGATAACGATTTGAAAACGAATTACTTCAGGTTAAAGTAAACTCCAAATTCGAAAAGAGGTTGGATCACAAAATGGACTGCTATGATCATGTGGAATATGGGGGATACGTGAAAGTGGAGAAAATATTGACGACATAAGCCTACAACAGAGCTTTACACTTGCACATACGATGCATTGTATTTTCTGTAATAGTATTACTTTTAGAAATAATAAAAACAATTGTACACATTTTATTTAAATAGTAAACATAATTACAAAAACAATCTTATACTGAAAAATGTATTATTGCCTATTTGTAGTAATCCAATTTTCGAATACTAATTGACCAGGTGCAATTTCAACTTTTTTTTTATTTGGTAAGGGTAATTGTCGATGCTCTCTTAAATTTCAATTTTAAAAATCAAATTTATTTAAAAATTAAATTTGTTAACCTTGTTTTAAAATTGTATATGATAGTTTGTCATAAAGCTCTGAATCAATTGATTTTGTGTTTATTACTTAATTTCAGAAAAAAGTGTGTTTTTCAATGTTATGATCCTTGTTAGATCATGCAAATAGGTGCGAATGAATGTTGGTGCGGGCGTAAATTGAACTAGTGAAAGTGTAACTCGGTACACGTTAATGTGACGTTTAGGTGTAGGATCGTTGTTGCCGGGGAAGAAGCTTAAAGAAGTCTTGTTCTTTCTGTCTAGGGTGAGGTCATGTATGTAGTCAGGTTTCAATATCGTCCGCCCAAGTCGTAATATGTATTATTATGGTGCTATAAATAATGAACTTAAATAATGCGATCTTGTCAACGTTAATGTCGTCGTACTTGTCAGAACTCTAGTGTAAATACAGAATTGGTTAGAGAGGAATTGAATGATAGTATAATCCATCTCACTGCATAACTGCTGGTTACATAGTCCCCAGTTATAACACTTGAAGGTATTTACAATAAACGTAAGGATATTGTCTGATTGAATATTGAATAATTTTTACTAGTATTAAATGCAAAAATCCAAATGAATCACGAAACAATTCGTTTTTTTGGTAAAGGTGCCAAATTGCACAATTGTTAAAGGTTAATTATAATTAAGGTAGTTGAAAACAATTCTGGTTTTACAATATTATTTTTTCTATCTTTTGCTTTCTTGATGAGGTCTAGTCATTTGCTCTTAGTGCTTTACACCTTCCAGCCATAGGCCAGAGACAGTGTTTGCAGGTTTACGTAGTAATACACTCAGAGAAAGACCACTTTAAAATCATGGCAAAGCATATACATTTTAAGGGAGTACTGTTTTAATATTTTTTTTTCTTTTTTTTGTTTTCATTTTAGGATTTCAATATTTTTCAATACAAAAAAAAAACAAATATTCATTGTTCAACCTACTATTTAATTTTAAAAGTGTTATTAATTGTGTCTAGATTTTCGACCAAGCATCTGAAGCCCCCCCCCTCCCCGAAGAAAGTCTACCGCTCCCCTCCGCGCGAACGAAATTAAATTTATATAGAAAACTTATACCTTTACAAGTATCCGCCATCGTGGAAAATTTAGCCCGCCCCTCCTGAAATTATCAAGTGCCCCTACGGAGAACAAATGTCTGGAAGAAACACTGATTGTGTTATGGTTTTTCGGGATGTGTTTCAATTTTTAAAAATTTCCTGTTTAAATAGTTAAATTTAACTGTTAAAACTACAATAAACCTTAAACACAAGTCAGAAACCTCTGCAGATGCGTTTGTCGCAAAGGCCAGAGCTGGACCTGGACGAGACGGCTCGTACTAATTCAAGTCTATAGTTATTACTATCATCATCAATCATGCTTTAAAAGTATCAATATAGTTTTTATTTTCTCACGTAAAATCATTGCCAATTCTGTTTAATTATTAATATAAGTTATCTTTTGATTTTGACAACCGATGCAGGGTAATCCTGAAAAAAATAAAGCGTGGGTTACCTCCCGTAGTTATTAATCATGTACTAATTAATTTCGATAACTCGCTACAATAGGAATATATTTAGACACAATACCCTTGTATAACCTTTTCAATTTAGAAATGCAAGTAGGGGTTGTTAGTACTACACCAATTTCAAAGCAATTGATGGGGGGGGGGGGGGTAGTGACCCAATAACAAACTCCTTTTAACGAAACAATCCTACATCCAGCTTTATTAACAACCGACTATATATAATATCGCTAAAACTATCTGCTCACAATTTAAATCAATCAAAAGTGGAGGGGGGTGGGGGGAGATCCAATATAACAATTTCAAAATTTACCCGAGGAAAGTTTTTTTTTTGGAGAAAATGTAATAAATGACTAAGTCATCCACGTCTGGAATGAGGGGCTGGTGAAGCATTTTTTATTTTACTACAAAGACCTTTTTTTTTCATAAAAAATAATGCCTTTAACCCCATAATGTCTAAATTATGGTCCAAGCGTGTACAAATGTATTTGTGCTGATTTTCTCTCATCATACTGACACTGAATTTGAGGTATATAGTAAATTTGGATTTATTTTTATGCTAATTACGGTATGTCGCGAAAACGCGACATCAGGCACTTATGGACCAAACGGCTACTCAGTGCCACTGGTGTGGGTACTCACTGCTATTGTTGATGGTACCCTATGCTTCCGATTCGTGCTACAGCAATTGTGCTCGACTGATTCTGCTATTGATTACAAATGACAGTGCTGTAGCTACACATTGCAATTGGTATGGGTACTCAGTGCTGAAACAGTGTTACTGAAGTCGGTTCTTGGTGTCACTGCTGTGGGTACTCAGCGCTGGAGCTATTGGTAATCGATAACGTTGATGTGGCTACTCTGCCTTAGCAGTGGGAACTTAGTATCACTGCTGTGAGTGCTTATTGCTCAAACTGTGGTTGCTCAGTGTCACTGATGTTGGTACTCAGTGCTGAAGATGTGGGTACTCAATAACACTGCAGTCGGTACTAAATGCCAGTATAATGCCACTAATGTGGGTATTCAAAAGCACTGCAAAGGGTATGTTTGACAGTACTCAACTTTACTGTATTTATTACGAGGTGTAGGTCTATGCTTACTGTTATTATTGTCAAGGTCACTGTGAAGACCTTTCTTTGGTGGTATCCACGATAGTGGTCCACCACCTCACTTCCTGTTGTCTATTTATTTTTTTATGTTCTCCTAATATTTTACAATGATATTTCAAAGCTAAATTCGTTATATTGTAACCAGTAACATTATCAAATTATTCCAGCATC